ACACACACACACACACACACACACACACACACACACACACACACACACACACTGCTAATCATCATCATCATCATCTCTTAACAGAGGGGGACTAATACATAAACAAGACCCTTGAAGAAACATGGAATGGGATCCATAGTCTACGAGTTACTCCTCAATAATTATAAATTCATACCAGTGACAATGAACCTTCTCTTTAGGGAAAGGAACTTAACTTTTTCTATAAACATTTAAATAATGTTTTATAGCAGTGTTCCAGGTACCTGGATAGCATTTGATACCATTCACAAGGTACCTCCTCCATGACACTTGTCTGGCCTCTTAACCCAAACATTTTTCTTTTATATCCCTAACCACACTGAGTAATTATATATTACTGAGTAACTGTATGTTTCTTCCCTTAATTAGAACATGTTCTCTTAATTAGAACATATCTTTAAGGTAAATATTACTGTTTTATTTAACCTTATTTATTAATACATTTGTTTACTTAAAAGTCCTCTATTGATAGATATTGAGCTTGTTTCCAGTAGATCTTTGATGAATATGAATGAATAAAAAAACAATGTGGAGTCAGGAGGTCCTAGCTCTGACTCTATTGTGTGACTTTGAACAAGTCACAAGGACTCTTTGGCACCTACTTCCTCATCTATAAGACACTGGAGTAATTAAATTCTATTAACTTCATAATATTTTGAGAGGATGAGACAGTGCTTTTGAGTATTTTGCAAACCTAAAGGGACAGTTATACCATTGTAATATATCATTACCTTTACTGTTAACATATGTATATTTCCTTACCAAATTTAACATGGTTTTGTCCTCACTCATAGAGCCTTGGAGTGCAATATTCTCAGGAGCTGGACTTTGGCCTATGAGAAAAAGAGAACACACTAAATAGTTGCCTGAGCAGTAACAAGTAAGAAAGGAAGAAATAGTGAGGGTGGCAATATGAGCAGACTAGTAAGTGTCAAAGACCTTAACACGTGAGTCAAATTATATGTCAAAAAACTTTAAATGTGCCCATTGATTAAAAATCAGGACTAGAGCAGCTAAGTCTCCCAAGGAAGCTAGCCATATAAGATTTCTTAATAGAAATGAGTATCTGTATAAATGGCCTCCAAGTAATAGTTTTAAAATCTTTTCTAAGGCTGCTGCTTTTTTTTAAATCAAACACATTACTACTAAACTTACAGAAACAGGATGAAGGAAGAATGAACAATCAGCTTGACAAAGAGGTTTTTTTTAATTACAGTTGTAAGACTGATAACCAAGTTTGATGTCCTTTCAAAACATGGTATCTTTCTAAAAAAAAGTCATCAAACTAAGAAACAAAGGTACTTTTAATTTATGCCATTCCTCTTGGTAATTTCCCTTTATTTTTGTGTACTTTATTTGTACCGTAATGTACTTGATAATGATTTTCCTCTTTACATGGTCCATTGTCTTGAATTTAGTTCAGTGCAGGCATAAAGGTCAGCAGCTATAAATAGGTTTTGTTTCTTTTTAAGAAAAAATAATGTATTATGTTTTTAAAATTTATATGGAAATAAGAACAAAATGGTAACCACTTTCTTCAGAGATAAAATGTCTTTTCCCAATGAAAATTTTAATTTTTTTGTTAACTTTTAAGATAGATAATAGATTCATATGGCCCATAAATTTTAAAGTGTAAAATATTTTTTGGTAAAAATTTTCTCTCCCATACATGCCTATAAGAAATTTACTTTTCCTCCCCACAATGTTATTTAATTTTTGTCTAGCCTTCCAGAGATACATTATGCATACATAAAAACTTCTTCCTATCCTTTTTATTTTCCCACAAAATTTTATATGCAATACATAATGTTTTTATTTGGGGTTTTTTAAGAGACAATAATTCTTTGATATCTTTCTAAGAAAGTTTCCTTATATACATTTTATGGATGTATATTAGTATTCCATTACATGGAGATGCCAATATATATTATCTAGGCTTCTTTTGATAATTAACTTGTCTTCAATATTTTGTTATTATAGAAAATACTGTAGTAAAGAAACTTCTACAAGTCATGTGAGTACTTAGATCTATAGGATAAATTCCCAGAAACTAAATTGTTTTATCACAGGATATGTATATTTAACATTTTGGTGAATATTGGCAAATTTCCCTCTATATTAATTATAATAATTTACATTCCCTACAGAAATGTATGAGATTTCTTTTTTTCTCCTACAAGCTAACCAACAGAGTGTAATCAAAGTTTTGCATCTTTGTCTACACGACTGGTGAAAAATGATATCTTGGTGTAGTTCTAATTAAAATTTCTCTTACTCAGTCTGAGGTAAAGTATGAAGATATTCTTCCGTTAAAATAAAGAAAGGATTCCATTTCTACAATTTTACAACTCCTTTAGTTTAGCATCTATATCTCAACTTAACTGTCCAGTTTAAACAATAGAATGAATTTTCCTTGTTTTTTGGTGTTTTTTTTTTGTTTTTTTTTTTTGGTGGGAATGGGAGCCTATGCGCTTCCCATGAGTGTCAGCTGTAGTGATGTCTCACTGGGAATGGTTGAGAATAACTACCTTGTTTTCAGACTCAAGTAGCAAAAAAAGATGTAACGTATTATCTGTTAATTCTTTTGCCTCCTGAGTGGACCATCACGAATTGGTCCATCCTTTTAACCAAACAGATTCTAATTAGGATTCTGAGAATTATTTTTTTAAGAGAAAGCATGCACATGGGCACAAGCAGAAGGGCAGAATGGTGGAGGGAGTGGGGGAAAGGAGTGAGAGAATCTTAAGCAGGCTCCATGCTCAGGGCAGAACCTGATGGAGGGCTTGATCTCACAACCCTGAGATCATTTCCTGAGACAAAATCAAGAGCCAGATACTTAACCCACTGAGCCATTCAGGCACCCCAAGATTCTGAGAATTTCCTAAGCAGGTGATTCTACATCTATGCCACAGTTGAGACCCAGTTGTATCCAGTCAATCTTTGCCATTAGGAAATATTTAAGCCCTATTAAAATATATTGTAATTTTTGTTCTTTCTATAGAACTGGGGAAAAAATGGCAACATTATCATATATGAAGGCCATGATTACCTCTTGGACATTTTTTCCCCAGACTATATCTTCAAGCTTTTTTTAATAAAATAATATTACTGAACCATGAGGATAGTTGCTCCAGTAGCTTACAGGTTTGCTTACTGCTTTGGAATGGGAACTATATTTGAATACTTCAATAGCTTACCTGTGATCTTTATCATAGCAGAAGCTGAAATTGTATCTCCCTCTTTCTCACAGAGTGATTTACAGTCCAGGTCACCAGAAGCCATATTCAAAATTTCTGACCCAGAATCTATCAACAGGAAGAAACTAACAGCATGAACACTATGCAAAAAAAATTATTTGCCTATGTTCTTTTCATTTGCACTCACCTCAGCAGGCCACAGAAACCAAGCTTATAGTTATAATACTAATCCTCTATTTTTATATATTTTCCAAGTTCACTCACCACTTGAAGTTACAGTACTCTCTGTGGACAAAGTGTGTCCAGGAGATGACAGTGTGGAACATTCCCTGTCAAGAGAGTAGAGGAAATATTTTGGAGTGTCAGGTCCAAAGAGTTCCTTAAAAATTAACCAAATATACATTCAAATTCATATACACAAACAAGCAAGCAAACCTGGACTGTGGCAGGCTCTCAGAATACAAGCGGTCAACACCATTCTCCTAAAGAAAAAAAAAAAAGGAAAAACAAGTTCAACAATTTGACATTTTCCATTCCAGAGAGGTTGTTTTAAGCAAACATTTTCATACAATTTTAAATGAACCCATATTTACTTTGCTCTTTTAGAAAAGAGGATACGGGACTGGGATGCTGTAGGGTAGATTGATAAACATACTTTCTCCAAGTTGTACTTGCAAAAAAATCCAATTTTAAATATACTTACAAGTCCAATATTTGAGGAATACCTAATAAATTCTTGGGCAAAACAAATTCTAAACTTAAAGGGCAGATAGAGTTTCTTTCATGAACTTAAGTCAAGTTGCCTTTAAACAGAACATTCTATGTGGGCATAACACATTTCTATTTATGGAAATATTATTCAACCTAAAACTTTTGACCTGGTGATTTAAAAATGGTTTTCAATTGTCTAGCTAGACAAATAATACCTTTTAAACTTAATCCCATTCTCAAAGATCTGAGGGATTATATCTACATCAGCACCTATTGCTTGGTGCTCAAACAGACCTTAACAAAATTGTGGTCCTAGCCTGCCAGGGCAAGTGTTTGAAAGTTTTATTTGAACTTCTTAATCTTGATCAGAAGTTCCTAATTTAGGGGGAACTTTAGGACATTAGGGTTGATTAGCTCACTTACTCTCAAATAATGCAGTGGGAACATGGGTTACTCTTTAATGTTTTTCTAATACATATATTTTCATTAGTGTTTGGTTTACGTAGAAATTAAATTTAATATTGAAAACTGAAACCAATTGAACATATCAAGAACCTGCACAAACAATGAAAAGATGAAGACATTTACGTGTTCTATAATCAAGGAGAGAACTTATTAACAGCCACAGCCCAACAAAAGGTTTCAATGGAGGGACATTGTATATCGCACACAGTATTTAGAATCTACCCCAGACAATATTGACTATCGTCACAGAAAGGTATGGGTTTAGTAACAGTTTGCAGAATACATAGTTATACAATATAATGACAGCACTTAAAATGTACAGAAGCCCTTTTATATATCATCCCATTTAATTCTCTCAACAACTTTAGGAAGTGGATTTTAGCAAGAAAATATTTACTTATTTCAGGTAAAGAAAGTAAAGCCAGTGAATAAACTAATATCCCGGGAGTATTCTGAATAGTGGTGTCAGCCTTCAAACCCAGTTCGAACTAAATACAGTGTCCTCTCCACTGTAAACAGAACTGTCTCTGAGATACCCTAACCCAGGCTGTTGGTAAGGTACAGACTTCCCAATTATTGTCTTACAATAATTTAATAGATAATTTAAACATAAACGTTTAAAATGTTCATCTCAAATGTTTAGAAGAATTCACAAACTTGCAAAGCAAGAATTTATACCTAATCTTCCTACATATCAATGTCAGGCAATCTTCTCTGTTTTATTTTGCCTCTGCTTTAAATGCCTTTGGGTCAGACCATGTGTGCTTGAAGCCCGTCATGACATCAGCTTGATTTAATTCAACAACTTTCATCAAAGGCCCACTTTGTCCCAGGAGCAGTGACAGAAGCTGGAGACACACAAAACTACAGTCCTTGTCCCAGAGGAGTTTGTAGGCCAATCAGGAAGACGAATATATAAAACAAATAAAAAATTATAGGCAGCATTCCACAGAGGAAAGAAATATGCACAAAACAGAGTGGGGTAATATTTGAATTACATTTTGAAGAGAAATTGTAACATAACTTTCAGGTAAATGATGATAGCCCTATCATTAAAAGATTTAATAGAATGCATTAGTAATTATATGCTTATTTAACTATATTCCAATATATATGTAAGAAATGAAGCTATAAAAAAGGAAAATATTAAATATCCTTCAGTTTCATCAAGTATCATACTTCATAAAAGTCAACAAGGATTCATTCCTTAATAGGAATTTAAAAATCAGGCCCACTTAAGACTCCATAACATAAAATTTTGATTATATATGGCTTGAAATGACACTTATTACTGTATAACTAATACATATATAATAATAATATTGCACTAACTAAAAAGCTAATTTTGTCTGAAAAAGACTTTTTTTTAAAAAAGTCTCATTTAAAGTCAAAATAATACAGCAGAAATACAGTTTACCTCCATTATATTACAAATTAGTCTCATTTGCTGTAATGTTCTGTATAAACCCTTCTGTTCAATACCTTATATATGAAACATTTTAGTGAGAAGCTTTCTGATAAATATAAAATATTTATGGATTAAATAAGTAATAATTCTGTAATTTTGGAGAAATGTCATATTTTTAGTAGTCATACATTACTATATTGTTCTGGAACAGTTGCAAGGTAAGCAACTGGATATTACTTCCAATTCATTAGTCTTTATAAATCCCACTGATCAGAAAACACCCCAATATACAACATATCTCAATCCCAGATTTTCACAAATCTGACCTAACAGCATATTTCCCTTGTTACAAGTATAGCTAGACAAAAGAAGTTTTCTTTTTTCAAATTTAGAACTATAGTTAATGAAATTTTAAATATAACTCCTCAGGGTGTCTGTACATATGGAGTGGGGGTGGGAGATAACTCAGCAAAAATTTTCCACAATTGTGTTCTTTTTTTTCCCAGCATCAAAAGCCCAACTATTCAAACCAGAATCCTAGACCGGTAAAAAAGCCTAACCCCCACAGAGTTATAAAGACCTGGGCAGATCATGAAAAAGATAACCTGCTGGTTATATTTTAAAACCAAGCAAAGTTAAGAAATTGACTAAAAGCAAGAAAAAGAGAGTTCAGATGACAGACTTACTTACCTGTAGAAGATTGGCTCAAGTCAATGAGTCTAACACATGTTGATAGCACAGAGCAGGAAGAATATTCTTCCTGTCCAAGCCATTCAAATATCAACCTGCATAACATTGACATGAAAATCTGTGGTCCAGCCCATTTGTTTTTGATAGCGTCTACCGTAGGGTGGGGTTGCCAAGGTACTCATGGAACAAAATGAGACATATTCTCCCCTCAGCTGGGTTAGCAAACACGCCACACATGCACATGTGCATGCACACGCGCACATACACACATGCACACCACTGTTATTTCAACATTTAGGTAGAAAAAGTTAAAGAATAATAAGGTATAGCTTTTAAGATATTAGTAAGGGTAATTATTGGCTTAGATAATTTCCCAGGGTCACTTTATTTTTGCTCTATTAGATGAAATGTTTCTTCATCTGTAGATTTTATGAGCAGAAACCCTTCCACTATGCTACATTCACATTACCAATATAATTTTTGCTACCAGACCTATTGTAGATGATTGGTGCTACTGAAATAAATTAATAGGATTTTCTGAGAAAAAAAAACTGAAAAAAGTCCATATGGTCTTATTTCATTCTAACTTAAAAAAAAAAAATGCCCTTGACTCAGTGCCGGTTTCCATGTTCTAAAAAGAGAAAGAATGTAAAATTGAATGCCAAAAGATCACAACTACTGTAACCTAAACAAAAGTAAATTTCCTCACAAGTTTTTTTTCTTAATTTGTAACTAAAAGGACACCACACCCTCAGATCTACAGGACATACCCACCACTCTGAGGTTCATCTATAGTGCAGTTATCAGTCAACTTCTACATGTCCCAATTTTGCAAGTGTCAATGTTATTTATTCTCCAAGGTTATTAATGCTGCACCACACACAGCCTGAGAGAACAGGACAGACAATGGCCAGAAAATCTGAGATATTTCAAAATTGATTCTGTCCTTTGTCTCATAAATCACCTCCTCTTAGTGATAGTGTATCTTAGACAAAAACATGTAATAACATGAAGGACAGCTCAAAGGGATGGCAATACACTTAATTTTTTTTTCAACAGCCAGAGTAAAAACAGAGAAATTCATTTTCATATCTTCTGACTGTAACAAGGTATCTTTCTTCTTTTTTAAGTAGGCACCATGCCCAGTGTGGAGCCCAACATGGGGCTTGAACTCACCACCCTGAGATTAAGACCCTAGCTGAGGTCAAGAGTTGGACACCCAACCAATTGAGCCACCCAGGCACCCCCCCTTTTTTTTTTTAATTGATGTGTAGTTGACATGCAATATAGGTTTCAGGTATAAAAGACAGTGATTTGACAAGTCTACACACTACATAATGCTCATAACAAGGTATCCTCTGAGCTTCACACTGCTGATCATTCTGATTCTGGGGGACAGTCACAGCTGCTATTTTCAGAGTGTTTACTAGGAATCAGGAACTTTGCATATACTTTATAAAGTGTCTTGGTGGGGTCTGATCTGAGACTGAAAGGTAGAGAGAAGAATCAGTTTCATGGTCATAGAATTTTCACGAAGCTCCTTAATTCTTGGAGTATTTGGGGACACACCCAGGCACCTAAGCACATGTCCAGTTTGGCCCTTGGGCTGCTGTTCAGACTCCATGGTGGGAGCAGTGATTAAGGAGAAGAAGACAGATTGTCAGGAGAGACAGCTGGGCCCTGGAGAGGAACTGCCAAGAGTGAGGAAGAGTTGAGGAAGTCGGGCTAAACGGACCGCCAGGCCTAGCTCCTGAAGGAAGCCTCAGTGGTGGAGGCAGTGGGAGGCGGCTACTTAGGGACTACTGTGCCTCCCAGCCTGCTGGATTATTTATGTGCCTTGAAACTAACTGAGAGGGTAATTTTAACAATCCCATCACAAGCAGTCCACCCAACCACAGTAGGACCTCACACTGAAGTCCTGAGACAAGAAGGGACAGTCATCTCTTTACCACCCAGGGAGAGAAGATCACTAGGTGATCAGACACAGAGCTCCAAGGAGGTCAGCATGGAGGGCCTGTGGGCAGCAGGGATCATGAACAAAGACGACTGCAAAGACATGAGTGGTGAAACCAGCTTCTTTTCCCCCACAATCTCTGGGGAGGTTAGGTGTCCTTTCCTGGGACCCACTAGTTGGTGGGGCCTGAAGGACATTAGGAGATAGCAGTATATGCCCCTAGAGATTCTTGGAAATGTTGAGAAGGGACCCCATGGAGATGAAAGGTCTTCTTATTCAGCAGCAAGTGGTGAAACAGAATTAAGATTTGTCTTTTCTCTAAATATGACCAACTTGGTTTGTCTTCATGGATTGATTAGGCTAGAACTTAGCCATTGCAGATATGTAGATATGTATGTGCATACATGTATGTATTGTGTATTTGAAACTTCAAAAGAACCCTGAAAAGTTGTATCTGTTTCACGGGGGGACACAGGCAAAGTCAGAGAGGTTAGGCTTGTCCAAGTTTATACCACTAGCAAGTCACAGAGCCAGTCTTAAATTCAGGATTGCTTGATCCCAAAGTCTATGCTATGTGGCTAAAAATTCTAAGTCATTACTGGAAAGATTTTTAAATAAATACAAAAGTAACAGAACAGAATAAGTAACCTTTGTGTACCCATTCTGCAGATTCAGCTATTACCAACCTGTGGCCAATCTATTCCGTCACCCACTAAAAACACCCCTGCATTGTTTTGATGTAAATCCCAGATATCATAAACATTTCTTCCATAAATATCTCAGTCTGAATCTCTAAAAGACAAGGTTTGGAAATAATTAATATTCTTCTTTTCTCTCTACACTACAATATTCCAAATAAATAAATTTTCCGGGTCAATAAAGGAACTGTTTTCCCCAAGAATGTCCCAAACTGGGCCCCAAATTATTTTATTATGAGATGTTCTTCTTGAGACAATAATCTTATTAGAGTCCTTTGCTCACTCAGAAAGATCCTAAGAATACAGATGTTCACTTTTACCTCACCCTGTGCTTTCTGAAAAGGATGCTAGAATGCAGCTTCTTCTATGAATATGGGAGATGAATAAAAAAATAAATCCCAAGTTCTCAGGAATACCAGTCCAAAGAAAAGAGGCAGAAAGCAATAGAGCAAGGTTGTCAACTCAACAATTTCACTGAGTGCTCAGTCTTGATGTTTTAAATAGGCCCTGTAGGGAGTACAAGAATAAGTAAATAGGCATTTAATGAGTATTAATGGGCAGCTACCATACACCAAATTTGTGCAGAGTGCTAGATGCATGTTGGTTAATGGTCAAAGGCACTCTCTACCAAGCTTCTGATCTACTACAGAAATAAATATAAGACAACAAAGAATTACAATGCAACCAGAGCATACAGATGACAACAAGGAAGACAAAGAGTTACTGGGGTCTAAAAGAAGGGAGTGAACTCATTTTTTCCTGAGTGGGACAGTTGAGAAATGAGGAAACAGGCCTGAAAGACATGACTTTTCCATAGTTACACAGAGGTAGAAACAGGGAAAAACCTCACCTCTCAACTTCTAATTATTCTGATTTCTACCTCTAGTCTAGAAGGACAGGAAATGTTGACTGTAAACATTTCTTGCTACCACAAGAAAGGTTTTATGGAAGAGCTGGTTTTGAAATGGGCCTCAACAAATAGAATGTGAGAAATGGGGAAGTGCATGGTGTTCTGGGCAGAGAGAACAGTATAAGCAGGCTTTGGGGATATATTCCAATGATAAATGCTACTCGGTTTCACTGACATGCAGGGACAACCATAAGGCAGTGGGAAATGATGGAAAGGTAGGTTGTGACCAGATTAGAGAGGGGCTTGAAGACCAAATCAAGTTGCTTGTTATAAAGGCTCTCAAGGGTGACAAAAACCCTACAGTTTGAAGCCAAAGACTTAAAACACTATAATTTATGGGTCACTGGGGTAAATACAGATTAGGTTTTTTGTAATTTTTATCTCATATTTTATTCCAATTCCCTGCGCTTACTAATGAGAATGCTTAGAAAATGGTTTTCTAAGGAGAATTTCCTTTTTTTTTTTTTAAGATTTTATTTATTTATTTGACAGAGAGAGACAGCGAGAGAGGGAACACAAGCAGGGGGCGTGGGAGAGGGAGAAGCAGGCCTCCCGCTGAGCAGGGAGCCCGATGCGGGGCTCGATCCCAGGACCCTGGGAACATGACCTGAGCCGAAGGCAGATGCTTAACGACTGAGCCACCCAGGCGCCCCTAAGGAGAATTTTCTATTTGTTTAGAGATGGGTGTAGGGAGTCTGAGGGGTAGGAAGTGGGGATCTACTCAAGGAATAAGCATGAGAGAGTGAATCATTCAGTGAACAGGCTGAAGAGATTCTTCAGTGGAGCAGAAACCTGGAAAGGGAATGGTGAGAAGTGGTGATATCAGCCACCAAGTGCAGCCGACAGACTTGTTCCTGGGGACTCTAGAAGAAACGGTGCGGAAGACAGCATGATAAACTTCAGGGAGTGTGTCCATTTCCCCAGGGATGTTTGATAGGACTTTCTCTTATGGTCTGTTAGCTCCTGTTTCTCAGTGGTGTCAAGACCACAGACAAAATCTATCACATACCCTAATGATAGTGGATTAGGAGATCCTTTTAGATAGCACATTTCTTAGCCAAAAAACTACTTTCAAGGCAATTATGAGTAATTATTATGATTGAAAGGTCTACAATCAGTGTTCTAAGAGGGTCTGTGAGAAAAGCTTCTCCTTTGAAGTTAGACAAACCTGAATTTGAATCCCAGGTTTGCTAGTTACCAGTTGAGTGGTCTTGGATAAGTTATTTAACCTTGCTGAACTTCAGTTGTCTCATCTGCAAAAGCTGAGAATACCTACCACTCAGAGTTGTAGAGAAGATTAATAACACGGCACGTGGTAACGCTTTCCTACAAAGTACCTGGTACACAACTGATATTTGTTTCTTCCCCCTTGTTGGTGAAATCAGTGTCAGATAAAAGGGAAATTACTAATAACCAAACATTCTGTAAGCTTCCAAGTCCAACTTCCTTTATTAAATTTACAAGAACTGCTAAGTAATAGCAAAATAGATTCATTTCCTTTTTCTTTCCTTTTCTTAGCTACTCAATAGGATGGGTATTAAGGAACAGAAAAATGTCAGATACACACACTTAAAAGGAATAATAAGAATAATTCATATAACTCAGTGGTAAAAAGAACCACATTTTTTAAAATGGGTAAAGAGCTGGGTAGATACAGCTCCAGGGAAGATGTGCAAGTGGCCAATAAGTACACAAAAAGATGTTCAACATCATTTGTCACTAGAGAAATACATACCCAAACCATCAAAATTACTTCACATCTGCTAAGATGGCTATAATAGTAATAATAAAAAAAAAAACCAGACAAATGTTGACAAGGATGTAGAGAAATTGGAATCCTCATACATTACTTGTGGGAATGTAAAATGGAGTAATCACTTTGAAAATCTGTTTTGCAGGTTCTCAAAATGTTAGAGTTACCATATGATGTAGCAATTCCACTCCTAGGTGTATACCCCAAAGAATACTCATATGTGTATACAAAAACTTATACGCTAACATTCATAGTTACATCATTCACATAGCCAAAAAATGGAAATGACCCAAGTGCCCATCAACTGATGAGTGGATACACAGAATGTGATATATTCATACACTGGAATATTATTCAGTCATAAAAAGGAATGAAGTATGGGGATAACATGCTACAACATGGGTGAACCATGAAAACACTATACTAAGTGAAAGAAGCCAGTCACAAGAGGTTACATATTGTATTATTCCACTTATATGAGATATCCAGACTAGGCAAATGTATAAGAGACAGAAAGTAGATTAGTGATTGCCTAGGACTGAGGGTTTGGGGGTGGGAGGAATAGGGACAGACTGTTGATGGGCATGAGGTTTCTTTTTAGGATGGTCAAAATGTTTTAAGATCAATTTTGGTGATGGTTGTACAATTCTGTGAATTTATTTAAAAGCACTTAATTGAATCAATTGTTTAATATATGAACTATATCTCAATTAAGCAATGAAAGAAAAAGGAAGAATGATGGATTATTATATCCTAAAACAGAACTGTCTGCTTCATTTGATTGAGAAAATTATGGAGCTCAGGCTCTGGTTGTAGACTGAGGGAGGCACTTCATACAAACCTCCATAACCTGGGGAGTTCGTCTAAATGACATGTTATTCAGTGTTACTCTTTTTTGTTGTTGTTGTTCGGTAGAGAAGTCTCATTAGCACCTAACTGTAGCAAAGAACACTCTCTGGGCATTGTCCTACTTTGTGACTTTTTACAAAGTACCAGCACGTCAAAGGTTATCTAGGCTTGGCTTCAATTCTTAGAGAGACAATGAGACCTGAGACTTCTTAGAGTCATTGGTGAATTTTAAGTCCCAAACCAGCCTGCCTCTTTAACAAAATGTTCAGTATACTTCACCAAAATCTCCTTTTGGCTATATACCCTTGAGCTTATACTACAGAAGGGGTAGAAAGCCCCCAAATGACTGAATTTTAATTTCCTGCCATCAAAGGCTGACAGTTCTCACGCATCTGTGTTTTGTGGTGTAAGATTCATACTTGCTGTAAGAGCGCTCATAATACTTCAAAATATGTATACACCCAGAGAAGAGGACCAGGATACAGTAGTACTAAAATAAAGTTGAAATATAGTCAAATGCTCACTTCCATCCTTAGGTCATCATTCATCCTGATGCAACCTGAAAGATCTGTTCCTGGGTGGGGGCCAACTTTAGGGCCTGGGCACCTGACAATAGAAAGCAAAGTTCCTTACTACAGAGAGAAAGACCGAGAATTTCAGCAGATACCAAAATGTTTCCCTTCTCTATCCCAGCTTAACCAAATTTCTAATTAAGTTCATGGTTTTAGTAAGACATGAGGAAAAAGAGCTCCAACCTCCACCAGAGAGAGGTTGCAAACCATAGAGAATCTAGCCAAAAATGAAAATAAAGAATTTGCCATTCAAAATCTTGCTTCCTCACCCTTGATACAGAAAGGGAATTTCACTGGGGTGGATAGTGCTCACAAACTCCACTGACATTTTGAAACTTTTCCTAAGGAAGGTCAGTCTGTGTACTCAGAAAGGTGAGCACAGATGTGGGGACAGGGATTTGCAGAGGCTCATTAATCTTGAGGAAGAAGGAATAGAATATGATCAAAACCTCTCTGAGTAAGCTAACTTAGCAGTATATAGTATATTCCTAAAAGTTGGGAAACATTCAGGTAGCCTGATTTGTCTTTTACGTTTTAGAATGGACATTAGAGAATTCAAAGAACAAGAAAAGTCACTTCAGGAAAACTATAGAGGTATCTTTGTTTTAAAATTGCCAATTTTCAGAAAGTCAGAAGTTCTATCCTAAAGACGTTATGGTCTCAGGATACAAAAGTCTAACTGATTAGAAGTTCAGGCACTAAGAATAGGCCACCCATGAAGAACAGGGTAAGTATATTTTGCTCTTTTAACTTACTTGCGTCTTCTAGTCACATCCAAATCACCATCCTCTACTTTTCCATAGTTGGGCCTTTCACATGAAACCTGGATTCGTTTGGCTACACCTGAGGAAAGTGTGAGTTCCAGGCTTGGAATTGCTGTGAGACTCTCTAGATGCAAGGCATCTGCAGAACAGAAAAGAATAAAACCAGAAATTTGTTCCTGGTTTAAACTATATAATAAATATTTATTTATATTTATTCATATATATAATATATAAAAATTCTTATATATTTTTCTCATGTATATTATATAGTATTTATTATATATAAAAATAGATATCATACATATATAAATTTTTTCCCTTTTGAGAGGTTGGACCATTTCTGAAAAAGCAGAAGTCAGTTCAATTCTATTAACCCTGCGAAAGTGAAAATGCCATTTTTTTTTTTTAAGCAGAGTGGGGAGGGGGGCAGAAAATCCTTGCCTAAAAACAACTAGAGGGGTCAACAATCTGCAGCCAGAGGGTAAAATACATCCAGCTGCTTGTTTTTGTAAATAAAGTTTTACAGTAACAAAGACATACCCATTCATTCATTACTTGGCCACTTGTGTGATACTGAGTAATTGCTGCAGAAACCATACAGCCTGCAGAGGCTGAAGGACTTAACTGTCTGGCCCTTGACAGAAACAGCTTTACCAAACCCTGAAGGGAAGAGGGTTAGACATTGTGATGGGGACCCGTTAAAGAGACAAAGGAAATAGGGTAACGGATCATGTGTTTTGGAGGAAGCCATCTTGCTATGTGTTTTTCTGAGTATAGGAAGCAGCAGAGTTTAATAGAAGAAAACACAGGCATTGGAGTCAATCAGAAATTTTTAGTTCAAATCCTGGCTCTGCCACATACTAGTTGTGTGCTCTTGGACACATAACTAAACCACTCCGAGCCTTAGCTTACTTACATATGAAGTGACACACGACCTTAGGGAAATTACTAACTCCATATTTCTCTGTTTCCTTCTCTTCCTTATCTTGAAAATGCAAATTACATTAGCATCTACCTGGCAGGGATGTGGTGAGGATTAAATGAGGTAGTAGTGATGCTAAGAGCAGAGAACTGTGCCTGGTATATAGCAGGCATCTGCAGGCACTGTCGGGTTGTGGTTGTGTTATTATTACTGGGTTAGTGTGAGTAAAATCATCTCTATAAAGCTCTAAGCTATTGTTTGATACAAAATGGCCATTCAATTAGTAGTGGTAGTAGTTTTCCCTTCTCTAGTTGAAATGATCCACAGATCATTTTACTTGCTATTTATTTCTTCTTAACTTTATTTTGATAACCATCCCATGTCTTTTGTCATTTCAGAATCAGCCATTAACTTTTGCTTTCAACCACATCTCGGTTGTGATGAGAGATGTCACTACCATGAGCATTTCTTCTTAAAATAAAGCTCATTCTCCTTAGCCTGGCACTGAGTAATAGCCCACCATTTGACCCACAACCTGCTCCAAACTTACATTCTACTGTATCACAACCAAACTCCTCTTGTTTCCAAAATGACTTGTCCAGTTTTGATTCCTCTTCAAACACTTGAGGCTTTTGCATTCTTCTGTTTTTTTTTGGTTTTTGTTTTTATGTTTTTTTTTTTTTTTTGTCCTCCTCAGTTAAAATACTTTTTCCATGCTTTTTGCTACTCCAAATGCAACCCATCTTTCAAGGCCTGGTTCAACTCTCATTTCTTCTATAGAGCTTTCTTGGACTTCTCTGAGCCCATTCTAACCTCCCTGATAATCTGTGAGCTATTTTAGGATTTATTCTCTATTATACATAATATGGTGCTTTGTACAGAGTAGGTGCTCAAACATCAGTTGACTGACAGAATTCAGGGATAAATATCCAAACATTCAACAACTTTTCCTGTATAAATATAATTGTGATTAATTATTTTCCCTTTCAAAAAGAACCTTACCCTCAGCCATGCCTGATAGGGTGTAAGAGGGGGGCTATCCATGCTTACCCAGCAGAGGTGTATACCAGCATGTATGTTTGAAGGTCAGGAGCGTCTGATATATTCTTGCTTCTTGACCACTATATTGTTTACGGCAACACTGCTTCTGAACAGAAAATAAAATAGTATTAGCTACCTAAAGGGGTGTAACATAACATATTTCATCATCTATTCTCTTCATTTCCAAAGGTAGAAAGAATATCACTGGCATCAAGAAGAGTCAAGAAGAAAATAAATGATTCCATAATAAAGTAATAAAGCTTTCAACCTTTTGATCAAAAGCTATACCCTATGGGTAAAGTGTAATTCTCATTAAAAATCACAGTTCAATAATTTAACAGAATTATATCAATTCCCAATAATCGACACTGTCATATAAACAAAAGCCTTGAGGAAAAAGGTATGGATGAGAGGCAAGCTTAGTTAGACAATACTTCTTCATGATACCACAGTCAAATAATTTAACATATTGCCATATCGTAGGGTCTACCGGCATTGTATGCATGTGTGTGACAAAGAAAAAGACTAGGTAGGGATGCCTGGGTGGCTCAATTGGTTAAGCATCCAACTCTTGATTTCAGCTCAGGTCATGATCTCAGGGTCATGAAATCGAGCCCTGTGTTGGGCATAGAGTCTGCTTAGGATTCTCTCTCTCACTCTGCCCACCCTCCCCTCCCCCCGTCCCCTGCTTGCACACTCTCTCTCTCAAAAGAAAAAAAAAGTTAAAAAAAGAAAGTAGATATCCATTGTTTCATCTAATAATCTCTCAAAAGTGATCTGCTTAAAGTACTAAGACTACTAATACATACTGGACTTCACTTTCTCTTTTGACACAGTGGTGATTCACAACTGGCACTTAAATTGTTTCAAAAAGCTTAAACTTACCAGTTGATCTTGAAATGGTTGTTGAATTCCATCTGTGCCGGACGAGGGATCACAGTGAGGAAATTCCTCATCTAAACAGCTCTGTCATGAAAAAATGATGGAGCATGTTCAAAGGCAGAATGACGACAGAGTCAAGGATACAAAACATATTCCATTTAAGAGAAGATATTGTGCTACCTGAGGAGGGTAGTATTGGCCAATTCTGTCAAGTATTCTACTTAAGGGAACAGGTTTGTAATTGTAAAACTTTCATTGCATTTTTCCCCTTACTTGTTCTAGGAATGAAATTCAAAGATCAGGGACAGGAAATACAATGGCTTCGTCTTTGTAATCTTTAGGCAGAGGCCAAAGGAGGTTGCTGGAGACATGTCAGTGTAGTGAAAATGTTGCCTGTGAAAATTTCATAGCAATCAGATTGTGGCGTTAGTCCAAGAGGTAGATACATACCTATCACAGTTATAATAGAAAATTGTATTGGTGTTCCTGATAAGATTAAAGCATATTTAGATGTGGAGGTTTTTCCACTTCAATTTGTTGTAGGGGGCTTTTTAGGTACTCTGCCTGGCTTAATCTCCCACATGAAAATTTCTTTTTCTACTTAAACAGATGTGCCTGCATTATGCTCTGGAAACAGATACATGCAGACATCACCCTTCTTTCTTCCCTTCTCCAGTCCCTTCCCCCATGCCAACCTTACTGTTCCTTATGTTCCTCATTTATGAACAAAAAGGAAAAACTCACCAAGTATCAAAAGGGAAAGAAATACATTGAACTCTACCATGGATATATTGAGATATCCAGACAGGAAGGAGTTAAAAGTTTAATTCAAATAGGAGGGGCACCTGGGTGGCTCAGTTGGTTAAGTGTCTGTCTTCAGCTCAAGGATCAATCCCTGAGTCAGGCTCCCTGCTCCGTGGGGAGCCTGCTTCTCCCTCTCACTCTGCTGCTCCCCCTGCTTGTGCACGTGCTCTCTCTCTCCCTCTCTCAAATAAATAAAATCTTAAAAAAAATAGGAGAAAAAAGAGAGAGGAACCATCCCAGCCCATCCAACAGTACGCATTCAAGAGTTATCAGAAAACAGGTACCTAAGACTAAAACACTGGCCCTTTGCTAACAGATACAGTAAATTCTAAAATGCTTCCTCTTTAAAAGATGTTATTAGCCATTCACTAATGTGAGTTCCCCCTTCTTGTTTGGCTAAATGCTTTCGGTGCAGAAGAGAACAAAGTCCACCAGAGCATTTTCTTCTAAGTTGGTTAATTTTGTGATAAAAGTCATTATCTATTATAAATTAGCTTCAAATCCATATACAGATTGGACCTCTTCCCCACAGTAAACACATATCACAGGGTTTTTTGTTTTTGTTTTTGTTTTACCTGAAACGGCAAGCCATGGAGGCGTCCTTTAATTAACTTCTTTCTCAGTGACTCAGTTGGTGCTATAAAGAGAATTCATAACCAGCTTAATAGGACGATTTGTAACCCCCTTTTCCCTCAGTTCCTTTCATAAACTTTTAACAGCTTTAAATTTGGGGTCTGAGGAAAGGAGAGAGAAAGCAGTGACTTCTGAGAATGGCGTTCTCAACTCATGTCTTGTGGGAATAGAAGAGCAAAACAAAGGCTAGAGCAGCTAACCCATGATCACCCCTGGGCATTCAAAATTCCCCTTGACAGATGCAAGTGATGTCCTCTAGAAGTGAGTCACAGAATGATTCCACCTTAACTTAGGAATACACCTCAGAGGTCATTCAGTCCAACTGCCTAGGATGTGGAAATCCTCTCTCCCAGAAACCTCTGCGTGAGCTGTGAGTGATGGCAGCCCCTAGAATTGGAGCCCCGTGATCCCAGAATCCTATGGGTAGGTCTGAGATGATGAGAACACTTTGTCCAGAGGATTTCAATGATAACTGGTTAGTCATGCAGCTGGGATCAGACTCACAGGATAATGTTCAATTCAGTATACTTTTTCATGAAATTAAAAATGTTTGTCTTTCTACTTCACTGAAATCTGCCTCCCAGTAACTTCCAACTTCTCATCTCTGGAGTAACAGAAATGATGAAAAAAATACCTTTTTAACTCTTTGAGTTACACAGGTACACACTACTTATCTGACAATCCATACTCTTTAAAATATAGACAAGAACCAGAAAATAGGCCCAAATCTTTTGAACCAAAATAGATGTTGATATTCATGACCTTTATTCCTGTGGCAATCCCTCACACTTCCACTCGTCCAGTAGGCTCTGAATTTATACATAATTCTCACAAGCTCTGACTGCTTTCTCAGCCCACAGATGATTAAAAACAAAAGTTACATGAGGGTAGGAAGCTCTGCTAGATGGAGACATTGACATATTAATAGCTGCCACTTTTTTTTTTTTAATCACAACAGCAAGGAAAATTCACAGCAAATACTCCGTTGTCCAAAACACATATGAATCTGGAGCAACAGTTTTATATCTCAATAGCCTGAAGAAATTCTGAACCATTAAAATAATACTAATATATGTGAAAAGTACATAATCTAACAAAAAAATTTTTTCTAAGAAAAAAGTCTTGAAAATCTTCAATTACATCAAAAATTACTCATGTAAAATGCTATTTTGTAAGAATTTTTTGGAAAAATTCCTTATTTCACAACTAAGCTTGACATAGTGTTACTAGGCCCACTAGGAGGCAAATACTTTTTAAAAATTTCTAACATATTTAAGTAATTAATTTTTAATACTTAAAACTCTAGTAAAGATTCAATTTTAGAAAATTCTCTCTTTTAACGGTATTAAATAAATCCTTCTCCCGACCTACATCTAAGCAACAGCAACCAAACCTTTCAGAAGTGGCCAATATTATGTTTGTGAAGGCCGTGTATCTCCAAAACACTGTCTTTGGATTTCTGAATAGGCTTGTGTTTCAGAAGAAATAATGAGTTAGTATAAGACTATTTAAATTGCCCATCTGCTTTCCCACCAGGCAATCTTGAGTTTTAGGAATAGTCCATCTCAAAATATTTAAATTGTACACCTTATTTCAACAGATGTTTTGTGCAATGTGTAGCAACTATTTCCATATGTTCCATGAGGCAAAACACATTGCCTTATGACCCTAATTTGCATTCACCTTTGTATGCTTTTTTATGTGTTTGGAGTTGGACCTGCCATGTCTCTAGGACATTTAGATTTTACATGGAAGCAAATGAAACAATGGCCACTGTATCCCCTGCTGTTGCCATCTGTGATATAGGATGGGACCGGGTGTCTTGGATACATTGCCTTTGAAGGAAGCTGGGATAAAACAACATTCCAAATGACTATGCAATGAGACTCTCAGGCAAAGGCCCTGCCAATTAATTGGCTGTTGATAATTAAAACTATAGTATTAGAATGATAATGATGGTTGACATTTATGGAGGATGGATTTTTATAACACAATATATGTGTTATCTCATGTTCTATAAAACTGTGTATTAAAAAAAATCAAGTTTCATTGAAAACCACAGACCAGGAGAAAATAATTCACAACACATATATCTACCAAAGGACTGGTATCCAAAATATGTAAAGAAATCCTACAACCCAATAACAAAAGGACAAATGTCCTAATTTGAAAATGGGCAAAAGATATTTCACAAAGAAGGTATATAATAGCCAATCAGTACAACAAATGAAAATCACAAGATACCCAGAAGAGTGACAAAAGTGGAAAAGGTTGACACCACCAAGCATTGATGCTGTAGAGAAACTGGAACTCCCACACACTGCTGGTGGGAGTGTGAAATGTTACTGGCAGTTTCTTAAATGGTTACAGCTACACTATGACCTAACAACTCTGCTCGTAGATCTTTATCCTAGGTTAAGGAAAGACATATGTCTATACACAGACCTATACACAGATGTTCATAGCAGCTTGCTCCATAACAATCCCAAACATCTAAATAATTGAGATGTCCAATAATAGGAGAAAAGATAACCAAATTGTGGAACCATTCATACAAAGAAATATGACTCCATCATGAAAAAGGCATACCATGAATAAACACAACATATTAAGATAAATATTATGTTGAGGGAAAGAAGACAAAAACACCAAAGTACATATTTTATATCTCAATTCTAGGAGCTAAACTAACCCATTAGTGATAAAAATCAGATCAGAGGTTGATCCTTATAGTGGTGGAGGTGGGGGAGGGGCAGTGACTGGAAAGTAGCACAAGGGAACTTTCTGGGGTTACAGTTTTGTGTTTTGATGTGCATTTGGCAAACTGGTTAAACAAGACACTTAAGGAGGTGCCTGGGTGGCTCAGTCAGTTAAACGACTGCCTTCAGCCCAGGTCATGATCCCGGGGTCCTGGGAAAAAGCTCTGTGTCAGGCTCCCTACTCAGTGGGGAGCCTGCTTCTCCCTGTCCCCCTTCCCCGCTTTTGCTCTCTCTCTCTCTGTCAAATAAATAAATAATATCTTAAAAAAAAACTAATACACTTAAGATCTGAACATTTCATGATGTTAATTATGCATTAATAAAAAAACGTAAAAGTTACAAGAACAAAAATAACAGAGTTTATGAGATTAACATTAGGAAGAGACCACTAAAAATGTAAATGCAACATTATAACCAGAGCACTAACAAACACAATTATAAATAATTATAGTGCCTGGGAAGATAACTTGGATCACCGAGACGTCGTGCCTCTTAAAATGACCAAAGGCTGCCCCACAGGATAATAGGAAGAGATAACAAAAGCGTAGAGATGCTGGTGACATTTAAATGGTGCAGTGCTGGTGGGATGCTAAGAAAATGCAGATGAGAGCAGAACTCAGGCAGTGGGACTGCTGCAGTGAATGCAGGAGGGAGCACAGCCGGCCTCCAGCCAGAGCCCTGCAAGGCTGGGCCGCACTTCTCTGGGGGAGGTGGCCCAAGTGCAGACACTTGCAAAATAAAGCTAAAAGGGCTCCTGCTGTTTGTCAGCAGCCAAGCCAAACACTTTCTCCTTCCCCGCTGAAGGTTATGGTTCTATCCCTACCCACCCAGATCCCCTACCTAGGAAAATCACGAATGAAACGACACAACTTCCATCTGACATTCGCGTCATTACCCGTTGGCTAATGGTGAACAAGGTAACGCACACGGCAGAAACGTGCTCTAGCAGAACAGACTCTCCCAAGTATGACCAAGCACTAGCTATTGTTTTGCATTTGTTATTTATAAATTACATACTGCATTTTCTGGAAGGGGATACTGAGTACCCAGAGAGGTAAAGAGATTTGCCTAACTTTATCCAGTTTCGCTTTTGACTTAGAACATAGGTTTGTTTAAGGCCAAATATCATGCTCTTAGTCATTACGCTATATGGCCTCCTAGATTATTTCATCCATTTCTGCATACATTTGGGAAAACTTAGGCGCCCATCCCCATCGGAGCTGCTGAGCAAGCTCTATCTGATTTGGGGTTTTTCCCTTGGTCCTCAACCTAACACCTATCTTTAAGTGTCTCAATCATCTCAAGCCCCCTTTCGTGTCTCATTTCCCTCTTAGGTACTGACTGCTCGAGACACGTGGCTCTCATCTTGCATCCATCCTCAAAGCCATAAGGCTCTTATCTGTCCCCTACCCCATGCCCTCCGTGCTAAGGACAGCAAATCAGAAGACAGTTTCCAGTGGGTTCATCTAGGTGAAAGCCTTCTCTAAAGTTTATACAGCTACTATGTTCAAATAAGGAATTCTGATATACAGGAGCCGCTCAGGCTCTCTTGCCAAGGAAATATTTATAGTTTCTAAAGGTAATCAATTCCCTTATTATTGATTAAATCAGGGACTCAATGAAGATTTCATGTTAGAAGGGGCAAGAGGAGGATGAACAGCAAAGAGGTAATCGAGTCTCTATTAGATCAAGTGGTCTATGTCTCATTAGAGTCACTCTCATACGTTGGGTAAACACCCTAGATCTAAGAAGCCTTTTGTTTCCTTTTCAAAACAAACATCCATTTATACCTAGTATTGCCTTTGTTAACAAGATACTTGGATACATACATAAGTAAGAAGCAGAAGAAAGAAAATATGTAAGTAACCATTCAAGAACTTAGCAGTTCTAATGGCACATGTCACAGAAGCTGGCCATGTATACTTAGAACCTCATTCAGCAGTCCAGTCCTGGTGGCCATTGAAAACACGAACAATATTACTTCTTCAATATGAAGTTCAGGTTTTCTAATCAAATGTCATAAACAACTTCCTAGTTCCAGTTTAAGAACCCTGTCATTGACCTGAACAATTGGACACAATCACTGAATCCCCACCCAATTTGCAAAAGAACCATTCTCAGACATGACAAAAAGCCATTGCCTTAAGCACTTAATAAATGTATTAAGCTAACCAGAAAGTTTCAGAAGAACTAAATGGATTTGAATATTTTTGTTTTCTGACTCAGAATTCAAACGTCTGACTCAGAATTCAAACAGCATGTGGTGACAGTGGTAATGGTGGAATGTGCCAGGATGTGTTTATGTGATAACTGTCCTACCTCACTGACATTTATTCACAGTCTATCTGGAAAATCTGCTCCACAGAACATTTCAAAAATATGTGCCACCTAAATTTCCCTCTTGTTGCAAAGGTCGATTTTTAAGGGCATTGTTAGAAAAATCCTCATAAGCAAATGGTCTTCAGAGCAAAATCTTGATATGTATGCCTTCTACGGGCAGCAAAAGATACAAACAAGTAAAAGAACTCAAAAAGCTAGGCAGGTTGTGAGCAACTATATGCAGCCAAGAAAAAAAAAAATACACGCTTGCAACCCAGGGTGGCTTTCATCTTCTATTTTTAAGAATATTTGGACTAATGAAGTGAGAAGACAATAGCGAGTTCATTATATCAGGAATGTATATTTTGGGATAAGTTACAAAATTTGACTCTTCCAAGAAGGTACTAAAAGGAAATCAAAGGGGCAGGGGGGAGAGTTGTGGGAGGAGATAAATTCTTAGTTTTATAAAACTATGATGTATAATGTTGACTTAATCGAAGATAAATATAACTGAACCAAAAGATTAGTCCTCTAAGTACAGTGTCTAAAGCAAACATACCATAAACCAAATTTGGAACACCTTATTATTCATGTCTCAACATGAACACTTTTAATCACAATGGAACCTTTTCCAATGCTCTCTGAGCAATCATAAAACAACATATAGATTATGTAATTTAAAGACTTACACTGTCATACTTAAAATTATTGAAAATTAGCAAGTCCTACAAGGTTTAAAAAAATAATAATAAAATATTGAATAATTACTGTTACGTTAGAACTAGCCAAGTCCTTTAAACTTTTAAACAGCGTTCTCAGATAGCAGTAGAAAGGGTACAATAAATCCAAAACAAACCCAGGTCTGAAAATCTCCTTCTCTAGCTTAGCTTAAGTTGATAATTCATTTGTTACCCGAATCAATAATTTTGTCTAAAAAGAGCATCTAGGACAGCTAGAACAAGAAGCTGGCCAAACAAAAGCAATTCCTGATAAATGGTCAAATAAGCTTTATTTTTACCAAATTATGTTTCTAGAATAAAATTCGCTTCTGAATAATCTGACATCTGTCATTTGACAATTGCCTTTTCACCTAAATCCTTAGTAAACAGTTACTTTCAGGTAATACAGAAAAATGACAAATATTCTAATTTTTTAAAGCAAAATATATTTGTAAAGAGCACATTAAAATTTAAAAAGGATTTTCACATATTTAATATTTTGATGCACTGAATTCATAAGTATTTTGCCCACCCCTAAAATTACTATGTAAAAGAAAATAGAGAGGCAGGTCCTTTTCTACAATATAATGGGTACAAGCTAGCTAATAAAATCAGGGTAGAATAGGTAAGCCATTTGCAAGTTCAAATACCCCATGCATACAAGATTTTTTCCCCCTTCTTTACTTTTACAGATATTGAGAACTTTAATTTTTAAAGAAATAACAGTCATGGACAAATCCAGCTCATAACAACAACAACAACAACAAAAAAAAACACTGAAAGGGAAAGTTAGTCATTAAATCAGCCTACTTGGACACCAGGCAAGCCTCTCTGGAAGCCCACGATACTGCCTTCTGGAACCATTTTATTGTAATAAATGTGGGTATTAACACAGCAGCTGTCTCATCTACAAAAATGGGTGTAGTCCTTTTGCCCCACCTCCGAGTGGACTGAATTGGGACATAACACATATTTGCTACTCACTTTTCAATTTCCTCGTCTTCTGCTCAAGTGTCTGGCAAGTGTTCACCAACACGGTATTTACAGTCTGGAGATTCGGTTGTTCCGAGATTGCTTCCTCTAATTCATGCAGCAAAGACTTCTCTTTGTCGCCAGCTGAGTGGGCTGCCGGATCTCGATCCTCAACCTGGACACGTATGGTTAATACTGGATTTTAGCAGGGTGGCCAGGAAAGAAAGCAATTGAGCACTCACCAGTATTATGCACACGAAACTGAAAATGTGCTTTTCTTCTCAGGGAAGTGATAAGCCTCTAGTGAACTTCTGCAATTCTGTATTTGCATGGGCTTTGCATGGGCTTTACATGGGCTCCTGAGCTATTTCTACAGTGGTAAAAGTCCTGATATGTCAAGTTGCCTCTTTCTGCAAAGATGCCTCTTTCATCAGGAGGCTGTTGACACCACCTCCTTTACAACTCCCCTGTACTTCCTCCGCTCACTGCTGGTCGCCAGGGACTGAACTTCGCAGTTCCTCTTTGTTTTTTGTTTTTTTTTTCTTTTCTGTTCCTCCTCCGTTTTATACTTCATGGTTTCAAGGACATCTGAGGAAACTTCCCCTTGAATATAAAGTAGTCACAGGCTACCCTACCTGCTCCTCCCTGTCCTCCAGCCATTGGCTGGTTCTTTGGACCTTCTTCCTAACGACAGCTTCCTGGTTGACAGCATCTTCTTGCACTTGTTCAAGGGCTTCTCGTTGTTTCTGCCTGGAGTTAAAAAAAAAAAAAGTCCAAACCACAGGCTGTCAGTGATATTTCAGCTGAGAGTCACCCCTGGGAAGTTGTGACAAATTCAAACTTAATGCACTTCCTCAGAGATCAGAGGAAAAAGTGAAAGTATTTACATACATATAAATGCTTAACAAATAGAGAATTTTAATCAAAGCACTCATATTGATCAGTTGGTCTGATACGCTCACTTTAGAGATAAGGGCATTTGGTCTCCTATTTTACACTGGGATATTCAGTTTCCCACAAGCTACATTCATCGTAGTAATTAGCATCAGGCACCAATTGCTTAGAGGATGGCACAGTAATGAGGTCACTGTGACAGGTGCGGTATTTACACATCATAGCTTGCTGTTTCAGAAAAAGAAAGGAAAGGGAAGGATAAAAGAAAAAAAAAAGCAATAAGAGCTTTGGGTCATGACCATGGCCTTTTCTCTTTAAGAGTTGTCAATCATGCTAAATGGTGAGCACAAGAAGGGCTGCCCCCAAGCATGGACGGAACACTCCATGTTAGTATTTCTACCACAGCCTTGTCTTTCCTGAAAACTTGACCCCCCCCTTTCTTCCTCATTCCAAATCTCTTAGTGTTGTTATGTTACCTCTCTTTTGGATCCATTTCTAATCCTCCAAAATGTATTAAAATGCACCTGCTCTCAGCTGATGAGATTATTTAAACAATGCTAGGTATCAATATATCAGTGACTATCTGGAAACAGCTTGAAATGAATATTGATGATATCCTTAGCTCAAACGGATGATAAACTTTGGGAGCTTCAAAGCAAAGAGGAAGACATTGTCAGGTTTAGGCCTTTTGCATGCCTCTCAAACATTAACACAGTCAGAATCACATCGTATATTGGCATAAATCCAGCCCTAAGTACAAGAAGAACCGCACCAGAGACAAGGATCGTCGCACAGAATGCTTACCATCATGGTAAACTAGCAAACAAAACTCTGAACAAAAATAAAAACTACCTAAACAATCTACTGAGACTTGTTCAATACCTTATAGTCAGTTTCTTCTTGTTTTAAATTTTGGTAAGAACATTTAACATGAGGTCTATCCCCTTACACATTTTAAAGTGTATAATGTTGTTATCCGTAGGCACCATGTGGTACAGAAGATCCCTAGAACTTACTCGTCTTGCATAACTGAAACTTTATACCTATTAAATTGCAGCTCTCCATTTCCTCCTCCTCTAGTCCCTGGAAACCACCGTTCCTCTCTCTGCTTCTCTGAGTTTGACTATTCTAGATACCTCATAGAAGTGCTATCATGCCATAGTTGTCCTTCTGTAACTGGTTAATTTCACTTAGCATAATATCCTCAAGATTTTTCCGTGTTATCACATGCGACAAAATTTCCTTTTTAAGGCTGAATAATATTCCATTGCATATATATACACGATATTTTCTCTGTTCATTTACCACTGATCAAATGTAGGCTGTGCTATGTCTTGGCTATTGTGAATAATGCTGTAATAAACTTGGGTGTGTAAATATCTCTTCAAGATTTTGCTTTGAATTCTTTTGCACATATATCCAGAAGTGGAATTGCTGGATCATATGGTTGTTCCATTTTTAACTTTTTGAGGAAATTCCATACTGTTTCCCATAGCAGTTGCACTGTATTAAATTCCCATCAACAGTGTACAGAGTTTTAATTATTTCTCTACATCTTTGCCAACACTTGGTATCTTTTTTTTTTTTAAAGATTTTATTTGACAGAGAGAGACAGACAGCGAGAGAGGGAATACAAGCAGGGGGAGTGAGAGAGGGAGAAGCAGGCTTCCCGCAGAGCAGGAGGCCCCATGCGGGGCTCGATCCCAGGACCCCGGGATCATGACCTGAGCTGAAGGCAGACGCTTAACAACTGAGCCACCCAGGCGCCCCAACACTTGGTATCTTTTGGTGGTTATTTTTTCCCTTTGGTTTTTAATAATAGCCTTCCCTAACGGGTGTGATTCATTCATCATTGTGAATGACTCATTGTGGGTTTTATTTGCATTTCCCTGACGATGAGTGATGTTGAGCATCTTTTCATATACCTGTTGGTCAACTGTATGTCTTCTTTGGAAAAATATCTATTCAAGTCCTTTGCTATTTTTAAATTGGGTTATTTGGTTGTTACTCAGTTGTTGTAGTTCCTCATGTATTTTGAATATTAACCCCTTATTGGATATATGGTTTGCAAATATTTTCTTTCATTCCATTCTTTCATGTACCTGTTCTCTCTGTTAATTCCTTTGCTGTTCAAAAACTCTTAAGTCTGGTGTAGATGCACTTACCTAACTTTTCTTTCATTGTTTGTACTTTTGTGTCATAGCCAAGTCCACAGCCATGAAGAATTTCCCCCAAGTTTTCTTCTAGAGTTTCACAGTTTTAGGTCTTATATTTAAGTCTTTGATCCATTTTGAGTTGATTTTTGTATATGGTATATAACAAGGGTTCAACTTCATTCTTTTGCATGGGACTATCCAGCTTTTCCAACACCATTTGTTGAAAAGACTATCCTTTCTCCATTGTGTATTTTTGGCATTCTAGTCAAAGATCAGTTGGCCATTTATGCATGGGTTTATTTCTGGACACTCTATTCTGTTCCACTGTCCTTAGACCACTACCATACTGTTTTAATTAATATAGCTTTGTAATATATTTTGAAATAAGGAAGTGTGCTACCTCCAGCTTTGTGTTTCTTTCTCAAGATTGTTTTGGCTATTCAGGATTCTTTGTGGTTCCCCGTGAATATTAGAATTATTTCTTTTTCTATTACTATAAAAAAATGCCAGTAGGGTTTTGATCAGTATTGCACTGAATCTGTAGATGATTTTGGGTATCATGGACATTTTAACAATACTAAGTCTTCTAACCTATGAACACAGATGTCTTCACTTATTTGTATCTTCTTTAATTTCTTTCAGCAATGTTTTATAGTCTTCACCTCCTTAATTAAGTTCATTCCTATTTTACTCTTTTGAATGTTATTTTAAATCAGATTGTTTTTCCAACTTTCTTTTTGGATAGTTGTTAGTGTACAGAAATGCATCTGATTTTTGTATGTTAATTACATATCTGCAATTTTGCTGAATTTGTTTATTGGTTCTAACAACTTTTTGTGGAGTCTTTAGAGTTTTCTGTATATAAGATCACGTCATCTACAAATACAGATGATTTTACTTCTTCCTTTCCTTGCTTAATTGCTCTGGCTAGGACTTCTAGTACTATGTTGCTTAGAAGTGGTGAGAGTGGGCATGCTTGTCTTGGTTTTGATTTTAGAGGAAACACATTCAGTCTTTCATCACTGAGTATGATGTTAGCTGTGTGTTTTTCATAATGGCCTTTATTATGTTGAGGTAGTTTCTATTTCTAGTATTTTGAATATTTTTATCATGAAAAAGTGTTAAAGCTTGTCAAATGCTTTTCTTCATCAAGTCAGGTGATCATGTGATATTTATCTTTCATTCTGTTAATGCAGTATATCACATTAATTTGTGTATGCTGAACCATCCTTGCCTTGCAGGGATAAATCTCACATGGTATGATTTTTTCAATGCATGATTAAAGTTGGTTGCTAGTATTTTGTTGAGGATTTTTGCACCTATACTCATCAGGGATATTGACCTGTAGTTTTCTTTGCTTGTAGTATCTTTGGTTTCAGTGTCAGGATAGTACCGACCTCATAAAATGAATTTGGAAGTGGTCCCTCCTTTATGATTTTTTGAAAGTTTCAAAAGTCTTCAATAATCTCCTACTATTAATCTTCCTTAGATGTTTGGCAGAATTCATCAGTGAAACCACCTGGTCCTGATCTTTTCTTTGTTGGATTTTTGAATACTGCTTCAATCTCCTTACTATTTTTTGTTCTGTTCAGATTTTCTTTTTCTCACTAATTCAGTCTTGGTAGGTTGTATGTTCCTAAATATTTATCTATTTCTTCAAGATTACCCAATTGTTGGTGTATGACTGCTCACAGTGGTCTTTTATGACCCTCACCCCCAACCCTCTCACTGTAGCATCAGTTATAGTATTTCTTCTTTTGTTTCTTATCTTATCTGAATCTACTCTTTTTCTTAGCCTAGCTAAATGTTTGTCAATTATATCTTTAAAAAAATTCAGACTTTCAGGGAAGATGGCAGAAGAGGAGGATCCTAGGCTCACCTTGTCCCACAGGTACACTAGATAACACCCACATCAGTGTAAATAACCCAGAATAATGACCCAAAGACTGGCAGAATAGACTCTCCACAACTAAATGTAAAAGAAGAGACCACAATGAAGAGGGTAGCAAGGGTGGAGACATGGTCAGGAACCAGACTGACTCACAGTACTGTCTATGGGAAGGAGGGATGCCACTGACACAGAGAGCGGAAAGGAGCACACCCCACACCAGGCACCCCAGGCATCAAGGAGCCACACTGGGAAGATGAATCCCCATAACACTGGGCTTTGAAAACCACAGGGGCCTAATTTCACAAGTTTATAATCAGTGTAGCTTAACACCTTGAACTTTAAAAATGAGCAAGCTGAGCTCTGGGAGAGCTGGAGGGCAATAGGAAATTGAGTCCCCCACACTTAGAGAGACAGCACAACAAAGAGTCCCACTAAGATACAGAATAGAAATGGCAGTTTGAAAAAAAAAAAACCTGGGGCATAAGAGAAGGAGAGTTATTTACTCATCTCAGAGCAGGTGCTGGAGGGGCAGGGATCTTTGTAAGATTCTCCAAGAACAAAAGAGCTGGTGGGCACCATTTTCCTCTCCTACCCCTTACCCTAGTCTAGACACACAGGCACCTGCAGGAACAGCACAGAGCAAACACCCTCTGCCTAGTTTGATAACAGTGCACCCCAACCTGCATTCTCCTGCAGATGCTCTCCCTCCATCCTGGACTAGGCAGGAGTTTTCACACACCCTCCCACAGCAGACCAGCACAGAACTTGCTGGCAGTGCACCCCACCCCTCCATTCTCCCACAGACCTGT